GGGTCTCTATGTAATCTATATGTGTATGATTTATTGAACCAAAGAGACATGCCCCCTGCAATGTTGTCTTGGAGAGCTGGAAGTACATTCTCTAAGTGTCAAGACATAAGCTGAATGAGTTCTTTTAGAAATACCTTCTTCCAGATGACTAATGAGACTGACGCTCTAGTTCATATTTCAGCTGATTTTATTCCCTAGTTGAAATACCTTCTGATAACCATGTTACATCGACTTCATAACCAGCGTAATTAATTGTGTACTATGTGGTCTAAGAATATATCAGGTATGCATCAAAACTTTTTGTTTTGAATCAGAAACAACACTATTTCTGTAGCTGTTTATTGTACAACTATAAGTCAATTGTTTATTTTTTCCTAAATATTCAATAACTCAGAAAAGTCATTTAGTCCTTTAACTCTTAATTTGTCTCTGCAGAAAGGTTGATGCAGAGTTGGACAAGTTTATTAGTGCTAGTTGGTGTTGATGTTCTGGTAAAATATCAATGGATGCATCTTTTTGTTCACTTTATGTACATGGTTGTCAAATACAGTTGATTTCTGTAGTTTTGTGGAAAATAATTAATTAGCTTCAGAGATAGCAACCACTATACTTTGTATGATGGTTGTGTCATAATGCATCGTATCATATCGTATTTAAAGGGGAATGTGATGTGCATCTCATTGGTGCAGAAGCTGTGCTTGTGAGCTAGTAAGATTGTCTTTTCATTAAGAAAAATGCATTACTAAGGTTTTGGATCAAAGTACAGACTTCATTCTCTACAAATATCCTCAACATTTAATTATCCAATTTTTAGTGACAGTGGTAAGTCGTATGAGACTAAACCCTCCATCTCTGTGTTGCAAACTAGGATTTACTTCAACAAAATTACACTTTTTAGCTGCGATGAGTGTACCGTAAAATTTCAAAAATATTGCCGCTAAAGATTTTGAATATTTTGAAGTGGACTGCAATATCCATTCGCTAGTAAAACCTATTATTTAAACAAGAAAATATGATAAATAATTTTCGGTTGCAACCTAATATTGCAAAATAAATAACATGTATTATCAATATTAAAAACATCCAATATCATTATGAGAATCATCAAAATTACTTTTCAGCTCAAATCTCCTATTACATAATGCATTATTGTACATTTTATGCGTCTACATATGACATAAATATAAAACAAGTGTCTTTAAACTCCTCCTCGATATTTGCAAGTTTTTAAAAACAATGAAGATAAAAACACAAAAATCATAATTTAGTGTTATATTCAATGAAAATCTCTAGGGATGATATGTTGGGATTTTGTGGTGACTTTGTCACCGCTAAAGGTTTAATTTTTTATGTAAATCTTAGTTGGCAACACTTAGGTGGACGGGTTAATATCAAGTGGACAACTCACTAAAATTTTGAATTGTTAACTTTGTGGTCTCCTAGAATAATAACGGGAGCATTTTTTTGTCTCAAAATATAAAAAAGGATATAAGTGATCTATTTCGTATAATTCATGAGTAATTTTAACCCAATTTCATTTTCTTTAATTAGAAGAGTAGATTATTCTTATTCTTTAATTTTTTGGAAAAAATTAAACCAATTGAACAAATATGTAATATTATACTAGCAAATAAAATTTCATATAATAACTCATTTATAAGAGTATAAACTTTTTTCGTTCATTTTGGAGAAAAGACATAAATATACCATCGAAGTTGTCACATATTTGCATAAAGACACCTAAACTTTCAAAGTGTCCTTTCACCCCACTAAACAACTATATATCGTTGTAAATGGGTCATTTTTATCCATTTCCTTGTCTGGGTTGTTTACACGCACGTTAGGCGTGTCATGGACCAGTTTTCACTTTCATTGACCAGTTCAAAAGTGCAACATGTCAATTCTTTTCTTTATTATTAATTATTTAATCAATTTATGTCATCTTCCCCAAGTTAAACCCAAAATAGATGTGGTAGCCCTAATATTTTGATTTTCATAGCAAGTATATTGCTTCGGATTTTAAAGGTGTGACGCCTGAGTTGGTTGACACTCGTTATGCTATTTTAGTTTTGGTTATTCCGAGTGCAAATGATGATTGAAGCCATAATGAGATGGAGATAGTGGAAGTAGTTGCTGATCAGGTGGTTGTGGTCCTATCCCATGCGACGGTTCTTGAAGAGTCACAATTAATAAGGGAGAAACTAGAAGCGAGAACGGTTTGCTGCAAGAGGCTAAGGAGAATGTCGTGAAGGCAAGCCATGCAAGGAATTCATTTAAGAAGGTAATGAACAATGGGATGAGACGACCAATGCACTCGATTTTGGGTTTGCTTTGCATACTTCAAGATGAGAATACAAGCTCTAACCAGAAGATTATTATTATCGACACAATGGTGAGAACGAGCACCATTCTGTTAAATTTAATAAATGATGCAATGGATAAACCTGACAAAGACGAAGGGAGATTCCCAGTAAAAATAATGTCGTTTCAATTGCATTCACTTATCAGAGAGGCTTCTTGTCTTGTTAAGTGGGTGTGTGTTTTTAAGGGCGTTGGCTTTTCCATGGATGTTCTCAGTTCTTTACCTAATCTGGTGATGGGTGATGAGAAGAGAACATAGATGACTTTTCTTCAAAAGATAAGGGTTGGGTCGGGTTAATTCTATCTTAGGGAGTGAGCAACACGCGCCCGATATAGATGAGGGAATGGGTAAAAATGATCAATTTACAATGATATATAGTTGTTTAGTGGGGTGATAGAACACTTTTAAAGTTTAGGTGTCTTTATTAAAATATGGGACAACTTCAATGGTGTATTTATGTCTTTTCTCTTCATTTTTATTTCATAATAACTTTGCATATGTCTTTAGAATAATAAATGAAGTGCATATTTTACTACAACATTAATATTAATGATATATATAATCTTAAATAAGGAGGAGTGATTTAGATAATTGATAATTAATATTAAATGTAAAATATATATTTATTTTGTATATGCTTAAGTGAATTATTTTTAATATAATGGATAAATTAAAATGAATAAAGAAGCATATCATATCAATTGTGATAATTTGTATGGAAATAATATTGAAGCAAACACATTTGCAAGATATTTGATTAAATTAATCTAATTTGCGCTCGTAGAGGCATATTTAGAAGAACACTTTTTGAATTAAAGATTTTTTCATATTCAAGACTCAATTCAATAAATTTAATTAATGAAAAAGTTGTTCATCTATTACACAATATTCTTTGGTAATATAATCTATTTGATTGTTTGTTCTAAAATTGACGTGTCATAATTAGGGTTGTTCATGGTTATGGTTAATAAGTGAATTAAATCATAATCCGATTAAAAAGTTTTGATATTTTATTTAGTTTGGTTAGATTTGGTTTTTAAATTTTGAAAATCGATATTATATGGTTTGAATTTGATAGTACTAAAAAACGACCGCAAAAATAATCAAACCAAACAGATAAATTTGATGTATAAATTTTATAATTATTTGTATATTATTCATAAATAAATTTAAAATATTTTGTGAAATTTTAATTAAGTGTTAACTTTACCATTTTATCAAGCACAACACTTTACTTCAAGTATAACAATCTCAAATCCAAGTCCATCAAAATTCATTTTAGTCTTTACTTACTGTACTTCACTTAAAATAGTCACATCTTTTCTTAAATGAATTACTTTGTTCGTGTAATGATAACTCTAATATTGCTTAATTGTTTGACTGAACTGATATTAACTTTTCTGTAAATTGTTCATAAACTTGATATTTGTGTTTGTCGAGATACATATGTCCTCAAAAAAATAATTAGTTTCAAACCGAATAAATCAAAAAAATTGAACCAAACCAAGAATAATCAAATCAATGGTTATTTTTTTCATTTAATTTGATTTGATTTTAAAATTTTTAAAAACTAATTAAATTGATTTTACTAAATAATCGATTTAAACCAAACCACGAACACCTCTAGCCATAATCTTTTCTTGGTGAGATTAAATTCGAATTCACTTAGGGCCCGTTTGGCCATAAATTTTCCAAATAATATTTGGAAAAAATTTGGCAAATAATGTTTGTCCATACAATTTGTCATTATTTGGCAAATATTTTTGGCAAATATCCCAAATTTCCAAATACTAGTTTTTTCTAGTATTTGGGCCAAATATCATTATTTGGGATATTTTAAAAATTAAAACTTTACCCCAATCTTTTATCTTTTACAAAAACACCCTTTCTAGTAGTTGCTTGCGTTGTATTACATCATTTTTTACATGAACACCAAAATAGTGATGAAATATTTAGTGAATATTAAATAATGATATGATTGTTGATGAAAATTATTAAAAATTGGCTTTAGGTAACAAAGTCATGTACTTTATCTACTTCACGATGTATGAAATAATTCTTGTTGCACTCGCTCCAAATTACCACATTGCTTCAGTGTAATAGACATTATTTGTTATTGTTGTAACTAACATTCAATTGACTTGTAATATAAGCTTTTTGTTAGTTTTGATAGTTTTTAAAACTTGTGTGTATAAATCATATTTTTCTAAAAAGATGAAATATATTTTTTAAATTTTATTTGGTGAAATTTCATCCAAATTTTCACTCAAATAATATTTGCCAAGAATATTTGAAAATCTATGGCCAAATGCTAGCTTAGAAAAGCCTCACAATTGTAATTCTTACTAATTAAGCAATCAAACAAACAAGTGACATCACAATATAATCATGACGTGTAACCTTAAAAACTACCCTACGGCCATGCAATCACGCTTACGTGGACAGTTTATAGCACGTATCCCTATAAAAATTAAGCATTTGCAACGTGACGCTAAAGATACTGCCCATAGTTTACTATAAACCGTTCGATCAATCGTCCCCTTAAATTGAACGGTCAGATACTAATCTGTGATAAGAAAAAGTATACACCGGGCTGTCACTTTAATTGCATTGGTTTCATAAGTGTATTCTCGAATTTCATTTTTCGCCCAACCCAACTGCCGAAGCAAAGCTAAAAACGAGAAATAATATGCAAATGCTATACGCAACTCTTGAAGAACAGCAGCTATTCAATTCAAATTTTCTGGAGAAAAATTGTTAGATCAATTCATCTTTCTCTTTACGATTTCTGTTTTACGGCATTGTTTGTTGTTGTTGTTGTTGTTTTTGAATTTTCATTCAGGGAGAGCTTTGAAGAATTGTTGTAGCTTCCCTTGCGCGACACTCTTGCTGCACTTTCTAGGGTTCGTTCTAACTTTTCCTTTTTTTTTTTTGTTGTTGTACTTTTGGTTACAGTTTGCGGATGAACTTTTTTTTGAATTCGAAGAAGGTTGTGGGATTAGCGATGACTTTGTATGGTAGTTTTGTGATTGATGAAAGCTGTTTGGTAGAAAATTAATTGGTGCTTTACTTGGCTATGTACTTGGAAACGGTGGGATAACTCCTTTCTTTTGCCAATAGAAATGTATTGGAATGCTCGTGTTTTGGCAATTACATTTTTTCCTTTTAAAACTTAGTTTATGTGAGAGAAATTTTAAGAGGTGGAATTTACTTCTCTGCTGGTTTGTTAATTGTTGGAATGGTTTTTTTTTCTAGGTTTAGTTTGAAGAAGGTGGTGGGATTAGTTATTAGTTTGTATGGGAATTTTGTGATTGATGAAAGCTGTTCAGTAGAAAATTAATTGGTGTTTGTGGGGTTTTACTGGGCTTGTGCTTCGGAACTCTCTTTTTGCCAATAGAAATGTTGGAATGCCCATGCTGTGGCAATTCCACCTTTTGCTTTTAAAGCTTTGTTTATGTGATAGAAATCGAAAAAGGTGGAATTTACTTGTCTGCTGGTTTGTTAATTGTTGGAGTGGTTTCTTTTTAGGTGTAATTTATGTAAGATGCTTCGAAAGAGGTGGTGGGTTTTATATGTATGGTGGTTTTGCTTTTTAATCCGTAGCTATTCTGGAGAAAGCCATGTTCCTTCTTTATTTTGTTTGGATATCTGGCTCATATGGTCATTTGGGATAGTTTGGACTGTGTTATACATTCTCTTTTATTATTTTGTTTGGTTATCTGACTCGTATGGTCATTTGGGATAGTTTGGACTATGTTATACACTCTTTTTATTACTTTGTTTGGGTTATCTGGCTGATATGGTCATTTGGGATAGTTTGGACTATGTTATACATTCTTTTTGATTATTTTGTTTGGGTTTCTGATTCATATGGTCATTTGGGATAGTTGGACTATGTTATACACTCTTTTTGATCAGTAAAGGCTACGTTTTAAACATAGTGAAGTGCATAATGAGTTCTTGAACCCATTTACTGGAAACTAGATGCATAGTTATGGCTCGATATGTTCTATTTTGGTATTAGGTGGAATAGCTATCTTGGTGTCCCTAAAATAAAATAAATGGAACACTATTTTCTTTTAAACTCATCATCAGACCTTTCTTGGAACATAAGGATCTTATCAATTTCCTTTTTATCCGTTAGGGTCAAAAAGCATTTAGGTACTCAAGCCTGCTTGATTCTGGGTTTTTTGTTTTTATGAAGTCCTTAATATGAGAAGTCTTGAAGTTTAAAACATTGAAGATCATTGTGGTGTAGTGGTGGAGTTGTACGTCTAGCTGGATTTTGATTTTCATAGATCATGGATGACTCAAATAGTAGATTGTACTGTCAAGGAGAACTTCTAGAGGAGAGGAATAAGAATAATGATGTGTATGCAGCTTAAGGTTCTTGGAATCTAAATAGAGAAAATTGGATCTGATGCTCTCTGAAGCATAATAAAATCTAGTATAACCTTGAGTATCATATTCACCGTTTATATCTTTTTTTCCTCTCCTGCGAACTTAAGGAGACTTCTACACGTGGACGAATAATCTAATTTGTGATAAGATAGGTGAAACATTTTAATATTGATAGTTCTTGAGTGCTCATTTCACCTGGTCGATTGATGTGTGAATATTTGGTTTAACAGTGCTAGTTGGTATATTAAGTGATATCAATAGGGTTACTTGAAATAAAAACAAGAAAATAACGCAGCAAGAACAATGACAACAACATATCTAATGAAATCCCACTGGGAAGGGTAAGTAGAGAGGTTGTTTCCAATTAGACAATAAGGAAATAATAAGGAAGCGAAAAATAAGAAAGATTAAAGACTATAAAAATAAGATGGACGAGATTCGAGGAATAAATTTCAGAATCTCCAAAGTAATGACTAAGAACACTAACTAATTGTGGTAAAGCTAATTAGCGGATTAAGGATAATGATAAATATAAGGCTAAATAAAGAACACTAATTGATTGTAGTAAACCTAACTAGTAGATTCAATTCAAGAACTTAGATGAAGTGATCTAGATCCCTAACTGAATATTAAGGACAACAATTAATATAAGACTAGTTACCTTCTTCAATTAATCTAGTAAGAACCACAAATATCAAGCAAAAAAGTATCTTATCTCTTAAAAGAATCATTGTAGTATGGTTGTAAGAAAAAACTCAAGTAACCAATACTGAAAGGTTTAAAGAAAAGAAAACTCAATAATATTACGAATGTTGTTCCTTTATACTTTTGATGAAATTACTTCAGGAGCACACTATTGGTGTACTTCTCTTGTATATAATACCAGTTAACCTTCTCAAAAGAATATTATGGATGTTGTTGTCTAAGAGAACATAATCCGCCACTGTATTTATAGGGGGAAATCGTCCAACGCTATCATAAATAGCATGTGACTGGAATCCTACTTTTTATGGAAACAATAAGTATTACAACCTAACAAGAAAATTTTGAACTTGGAAACTTATAAATTAGGAAAGCATGTAAAATTAATACCATGCTTTTTTTCCAAAACTACCTAACAAAAAGTAAGAAAAGAAGTGCGAATTTTGCACCAAAAACTCACACCCAGTCACTCGAATTTGGGTATGAATTCCACCTTTTGGGTGTGATTCTCAACCTATTGTGGACTTCATTTTCAGCTCCCTTGGGGTCTATGTGGGCCCTGATCTTCCTCCTCTTGGTCTTGGACCATGAAACGCGTGTAACACGTAGACTACTCTTCCCCATAGTTTTCTTGCGCTCTTCTCACGATAAGCATCTTTTGATCTTCCATTGAAATTCAACAACGTTGTTTTGCATCTCCTTAGCTTCCAGCACTTCATCTAAGTCCTTTAATGGAGGTATGTTGTATGCCAGCATGGAAGCTATAGTATGGTTGAACTCTGATGTATTTCTCGTATCTGCTTAATTAGTAACCTCAAACAAGGGATTTAGGGTTAGTCCTTTTTGTTTGTCACATCTTCATGAAGTAAAAGATTTTTCATAATCCAAAAGCCTGGTTGCCATCCTAGCAAGTAAAAACATGGAAAGAGCACAAGTACTGGCTTTTCTTGAACATGTTATGCTGAAAAGATTTGCATTTGACTTTGCTTATTGATGTGTCAATATATGGCTAATAATGGTTGGCGTTATATTACGGAAAGAGAACTGATGCATCTGTGTTATCTGGTAAAATGTTGACTTTAAAAAGTGGATCTTGGTTTACACCTTTCTATTGCCCATGGCTCTATGAGATAAGGGGATTTTCTGGAAGCTGAAAGCTGATAAAAATATCTAGCAAGCAGAGAAATTTAAAATGAAGATCCTGTCTCTCTAGTACATGTCATGCTCAGACTATTTACATTGCGATTGAGGATGTTATTCCTTCTTCTTTTCTTTCATTTCCCCCATATCATCTTATTGGTAATATTGTAGTAGTCATGCATAAGTTTTTCCGTCTTACATTCAAATGTCTGTGGCAGGGTTCCCGAAGGCCGAATATTAAGAATTTGATCCTCCTCATTTGCCATCAATTTTTTATGGATATGAAGTATTATGCGGGATCCTTCTGATGCCCACGTGTCTGGTTCATGGTTCTGTTGGAGAAAACTAGTTGAAACTAAGGCAACCTGCCTTATATAAGTTCATTTAGGAAGGAAGCTAAAGTGATCATTTCTATCTTCGGTGGCATGGAAGCTGGTGCTTGAGTTTTGAATCATCCTGATTGTGGGCCATATTTCTAGAGATTCTGAGAAGCAGCATCTTAAAATGGGATGGAGGGGAATTTTAGTCTCGTTACTATTTTCTATCACTTTGGGTGAATCATCAAGCAATTCTAGAAAAATGTGGTCGCTGAAGATAGTTTCAGAATCATCTCCAGTTTATAGTTGGGCTGTATACAGTGCTGGCTTTTTCGTATTGGTGGCTGTTGTCCTGTCTATGTATCTAATTGTTGAGCATCTAGCTGCATACAAGCAGCCTGAGGTTTTTGCTTACACCTGCTCAATCTTCTTGAAGTTATTTTTTACTTGCATACATCATTTGATCATATGGGCTGCTGATCTTTTCTTTTTGGATCAGTTTGTGGTGCTTGATTGAATACATGCTTGTATTGTTATTTTTGTACAGACACCTGGTCGTTGTTCCATTGCTTAGCTAAATTGCCTTAGAGAAACTGATACGACTGAATTATTTATCATCACAGGAGCAGAAGTTTTTGATTGGACTGATCTTGATGGTTCCTGTTTATGCAGTGGAATCGGTAAGAGAACCTTTAGCTTGTATGCTAGCATTTTCTCCAGTTTATTTGGAAGTGATCTTTAAAGTTTGTCATAAACATATTGAGACATTGGCGGTTATTATTATTATTATTTGAAATAAATCTCTCTATGGACAAGCAGAGAAAATACGACCTACCAAAAGTATATGCTTACAAAGACAGTAAAAGAACGGCTAAGATAAGAAAATACAAGTCACTTTAGGGTTTTGTCAGTTCTGCATTTAAGTATTTTTTATTAAAGAAAAATTCAGTTGGTAACTTACTGGGACTTTGATTATGTCTTTGCATTGCATTTCCTGTAATCCTACGGCGAACACTTGATATGTTTGTGGGCGAGTTTGGATTTTATGATGCCTCAGGAACAGAATTCATGGCTCCCTGTTTATTTCAGTGTTGGTTAATATTGTTTTTTGGTCCACAATAATTTCTGAGCAATCGCCACATGATTCATTTCTCATGAAAAATGAAAAAGAACTGATGAACGAAACATGTACTCTTTACTCAGCTAAATACAAATGAAAGCCTTAACAAATGGTTAAACTACCAATTAAACAGGAGAAAACTTAGATAAAGGAACCAGATAAAGTATATGAGGTGGTACAGATGCTCTAGCATAGCATAAGTTCCAAAAAAAGAAAATTTCATAAAAGAATGGATGAAAAGGGTGTTTTTTCCTTGTCATAAAAAAAATTGAATGGATGTAAAGGGTAAAAATGTGGTACTTTTAAGTTAAAATTGACTTGGGTGCATCTTCAACAACCTATATGTCTAATTTTACAGTATTATCATCACCCTAAATTTTAGAATATCATGTTGTCTTTCTTTATGTTTATGATTGACCAGTTCTTTGCGTTTACCTGACAGTTCTTATCTTTAATGGACTCAAATGCCGCATTCAACTGTGAGATCATACGCGATTGTTATGAGGCTTTTGCATTATATTGCTTCGAGAGGTATCTGATAGCCTGTTTAGGTATGTCTTCAGGCATAGGTTGTTGCCCTCTTCACCTATTTTAAGTTGTCCCTTGGAAAAATCCCACCTTGAAAATTTTAAGTGCTTCAGTTACCAGCTTAGAGTCTGCTAGAGTAACTATACTATAATTGTGTTTATTATTCGCACAACTTTTCCAAATTGTTCCATCCATGTTGCTTTTGCATCTTATGTCACAATGGAGTTGTATGGTTTTCTCAATTCTCCGTACTCCTCTACTTGCTAGCTTCTTTTCTTTTAGAAGTTCCTTTCTTTAAAGATGATTCTCATATGAGCTACATGACATAGGTGGAGAGAAAAACACCATCGAATTTATGGAAAGTCAAAGTTTTGTAAGTTCCAGCTTGCCTCTGCTGGATGATGCCTATGCATATGGAGTTGTTGAACATCCTTTCCCATTGAATTGCTTTATCAGGGAGTGGTATCTTGGTTCTGACTTCTATCAAGCAGTAAAAATTGGGATAGTGCAATATGTATGTGCCCCTCTAGTAATTTGCTATGGATTGTGACAGTTCCGTCAAGTTTCTATGTACTGAATAATTAAGGATTTCCTTCCAGATGATACTTAAGATGATATGTGCTTTGCTGGCTGTGATTTTTCATCTTTTGGGCATCTACGGTGAAGGCAAATTTGAGTGGGGATATGCGTAAGTCAACCCAGGTTTTCCTTGATACTTCAAGATAGGAGTATTTTTTCTACCTATTTTGCGACTCTTCTACTGCAGATCTCTAGCCGAGCCTCTGGATCAATTTGAATTTTTTATGTCATATATTGGATATGTTGTGAAGCAGAAGCTTTTCACAATGTTAATCTGAATGTTAATTCTTGCAGCTATCCGTACTTGGCAGTTGTTCTTAATTTTAGCCAGACGTGGGCCTTATATTGCCTTGTGCAGTTTTATTCAGTCACCAAGATTAAATTAGCACCGATTAAGCCATTGGCGAAGTTTCTGGTATTCAAGTCAATTGTATTCTTGACGTGGTGGCAAGGTATAGCTGTTGCCTTTCTTTTGTCATTTGGAACATTCAAAGGTTCTTTGGCGCAGCTGTTGAAGACACGGATCCAGGATTATATCATCTGTATTGAGGTCAGTTGTGTTTATTGAATCAGTTTCTACAGTTGTCATTGCTTGATCACTATTTCTTGTGCCAACAGAGGCTCATAATAGAAATCAGTTTCTTCTGCCAACAGAGGACCTCTGTCCTGGCTATGAACTTCAGTGTATTTAAGTGATCCAGGACAGTCAATAAATTTATTAAATTTGTGAAGACACGTGCTGAAGGATAAAAGATGCATATTTCAATTAGTGAAGGCTAAATGTGCTCAAACAGAGTCGCTAGACCATAATGTGATTTGTTTTAATATTAAAGGAACTAAAATATACTAATATCCCTAAAGATTAAGATATTGATATAGCAATCCCTTGTGGAAACACGGGATAGAGTTACAAGAAAAGCAAATAAAAAATAGCTAATTCTTGTGACTGGGATCATGTGTGGAACTTGTTTTTTTAGGAAGGAAATCCTTGACAACTGATCAGAAAAATTGTCTTGATATACATGGGTAGAAATAAGAAGAAACTTCAACAGTTGTACCAGTACTGACTACTGACCGCAACATTTTGCTATAGATCACAAGCATCATGTGTCTGGTTCAGAAGGAAAAGGAAGAATCTTTATACAGATGATACAAGAGCAAATTTTATGATTATTATGTTGCAACAATCTTTGTATTTTCAGTAAGAGAAAGAGCCAGACAATTTTCCTGGAGATTTACTTAACTGAGCTTGGTCGTAGTTAGCCGGGAAGATATAATTCCAGGATTAAGATAGAGATTGATCAGTTGATTAGTAGGCAACAAGGCAGCTGCGAATCCTTTGCCAGGAACCTGGGGAAGAGTACTGCAAATATTTTTGCTGGCTTGGGTAGACATCAAAGAATAGAGGTTGACTTGCACAGAAGTAAGAAGATGGGTGCAGAGAATGTGGAGGGTTGCTTCTGGAAAAAAGAGATAATCACTAGCTATTACTTCAAAGTCGAAGCTTATAGAATATATCATGGGTGATATGTATCAGAATAATCATTAAGTGGCTCATTGCTGGTGGTTGCGGACTTCTACAATTCACCAATAAGATGAACACCCAAAACATGTTGCAACACCCAAGCATGTTTAGATAAGGTTGTTAGACTTCACAATTCACCTTTGACCATAAAACATGTTTAGAGTAGTTGGTGATAGATGCTGGGGATTTCTGGAGATTGATGCCATTACAAGACAGAGTGCACCCTTTTTTTCTCAATACTTAATAGTGCACCTTTAGTGGTATTGTATTTGTATGTGGTGGTCTCTAAGTCTGTCCGTCAGATTGAAGCTGAGAGAATAACATTTACTATTCCAACCACAGTGGTGGAGATGCCTTTTTTAAAAAAGAAGCTTTTGTAACCCTAGTTGAGGTCAGTGGAAAAGGTGGATCTGAATCATGTAGTAGAGACTTTTTATTAAATGAATTAATTCCTTTGGATTGAGGATCAATTGTAGCAAAGAGTTGGACAAAGAATTTCAAAGATCAAAGTTCCTGCCCAAGATGTCATGAGTTATGTCTAAAAATGCCATATTTCAAATTTTAAATTGCAGAATAAACATCAGTTGCGCGAGTAGTGAAAGGAGATTTTTTGAAGATTTAATAGGAGGAATAGAATTATTGAAGTCTCGGGTAAAGATTGCCAAAACATGGTGCTTTTACTTGACCCCAAAAATTATCGACAGTCCAGAACATTGGCCGAGAGAAGTCAATTTGGTGGGGCATCTAAACCCTGGGTGTAGAACTTGTGAAGTCCCCATGAATCAGGGCGTGGTTACATGGAAATAAATGTAGTCCTGCATTAGACACATGCATATGCAGTATATGTACTTATGTATGGATTATGCAAGAGCTCTCTAGAGTCTAGACTGTTTAAATCTGAGATTTTGAATCTGGGATTCCTCTTGAGAAGACTAGCCAAACTTAGGCAGCTAATGGATAGCAGCCACCTGGGCGGCAACAATTTTGAGTAAATGGAGGCTAGTAAAAGTGTAATTATGCCCTGAGATACTCTTCTTGGTTGAATAGTGCTTCCACATTGGTAAGGAAAATTACCTTAGATTGGGTAGAGAACGGGGTGCGCAATTTGGGAGCTTCTACGAGGCACTTGTACTATGTGAGAAGGTCAAGCCAGGGGATTGGAGAGGAAAAATGAGATGTTGCTGAAGTTCTTCAACTTTTAGACGGGAAGTGTTGAGGAGCTGAAAAGGCTAGAGTTAAATGAATGAGAGTGACTGGGCAGGAAGAAACAAAGATAGGCAGCACCAATGCAGTGAAGATGAAGATATGAATAAATAGTTGGAATGTAAGGGACTGCGCAGCAGGGTAAACTTACAACACTTTGAAGGCTAGCTTAAAAGTAATTTATAATCTTGTGAAGCATAAAATTAGAAATTGTCTGCCCATAGTAATGGTTAGTGCATTTGTGCCTTTGTTCTTGCCAGTGTCATCACTTGATGTTCTGGTAAGTGTAGGTTTTATGATTTAACAGATGATGTGAAGGGTGACGTTGCTGTAAGTAAAGACCGGGTAATGTCATGATATGGTAGAAATCAAAATTGACTCCTACATAGGGCCTTTACCATGTCGCTGCATAATATGATATGTTTTAAGCTCAAAGTGGAATTATACAACCCTCATCTCTCTATTTTTATGTTTGCCACATTGGGTTACTTCAGTTCGAATTTCTGATAGAAATATTAATAAAAAAGAGTTCATTCCATAAGATTTTGCAGTAATGTAAGCCCTCAAAAAGTATTTAGCCTAGGAATAATCCTTGAAATGTTTGATCCTATTAAGCGACAAATTATGCTATAAGTTGTTGCAGTAGTTCTTCTCAAAGTTTGAGTAGAGAAGACTGGTTAGTATGCAATGTGGAGTATCACTATGGTAGGAACAGACTCTTCATGAGCATTATAATTACTTTCTGATAGAAATTTACTTGGGTGGGTAAGAAATGCAAACCTAAGAAGGTGCATTGTTTTACCGGATTTGCTTTTTAACCTGTTATTTCAAATTAGGGAAAACCTTTTACACGATAACAGTTGCTGCATATGTTCCTCTGTGTGATGTTTTGAATTGTCTGGTGCACAGATGTTAGGCAATTGTTTATTACAGTTACCTAATGTTTTCTTGTAAAAACAGATGGGCATTGCTGCTCTGGTGCATCTTTATGTTTTCCCAGCAAAGCCTTATAAGCGTGGGGAAAGATGTGTCAGGAATGTAGCTGTGCTGTCAGATTATGCTGCTCTGGACACTGCTCCAGATCCAGAGGAAGTTCGGGACTGTGAAAGATCTACCCGTGCACGCATTTCTCGGCCGGAAGAGAGAGAGAAGCGTCTAAAATTTCACCAGAGTGTTCGTGATTTAGTTGTCGGAAGTGGTGAAATAGTAAGATTACCATTCCTTGACGTCTTCTTTTATTCTTTTACGTCTTCTTGTTTTTCTCCCACTGTGTAACTAATGTGTTTTCTGTTATCACATCTTTTAGATAATTGATGATATGAGGTTCACAGTATCTCATGTTGCCGAACCAGTTGAAAGGGGAATTGCTAGAATAAATAAGACTTTCCATCAGATATCAGAAAACGTAAAACGGTATGAAGAGAGGAGGAGGAACTCGAAGGATGACAGTTATGTCGTTCCGCTCAACTCATGGACGAACGAGTTCTCAGAGGTACATGATGATCTTGCGGAAGGGAGTATGAGCGACAGTGGGATGCATAGCAAGAGATCACATCATCAATCCAAAGGGATGTCATCCCTACGGAGATAGTAAAGCTTTAATCTGACCAATAGAAGAGTGTAGATTTCATCTTCTAACCATATTGTTCATTCAGTATCCATTGTGGAGTTTCTCTACATTGAGATAATATGGTAAGCAACTTATATGAGGAGTGCACATGATCATTACCTGTCAGGGTTGAAGTAGTGGAAAGATTTGAATTGCCGATGATTTTCATATGTGAAGTTTGGAGGAAATTCAGATAATGATATGGTTGGAGTAAGAAAATTTTCAGCTACCAAGTTCCGATCGATCTTCGAAAGAGTACCAACTATTAACTGTTACTTGTGAATGAATTTTGCACTAGCCCTCCAAATGTATATTCTTGTGGAATTATTTCATGTTGGTAACTTCTCTACTTAGTTCTGCATTTTGTTAAGTCCAAGTATCTGCTTGTTCATACAAAAGACATATAGTACTGTTGTCTGCTCCCTGTTTTAGCTCATCTATATCTGGCCTAGGACGACGCACCAATCTTTTAGCCTCAATAGGTCGTTTGATTGCTAGTTAGAGATATGATTGTTTAAGATCCCTTATTAGTATATTGTTCCTTTTCCCCAGAGGGTGTAGGCTTCATTGAAAGGCTTTATGTCTCATGGCATTGTTGCAAACAACCTTTTTTTCCAGTGGGTGCAGGCTTCATCAAAGCGCTCTCTGCCTCATGGAATTAGTGGGTTTGTTTGCAAATTACACTTTTTTTCTCTCGCTTTATTGTAGTTTATCTTTTTATTTAGATAGTGTCGAATTTCAAAATAAACAAATTTTATTACTAGCAAACAACACTCTCCTCTCATGGTATTGTAAGGTTATTTTAAATTTAAATAGTGTCAAATTAGGAAATTTTTATTATATGGAGAAAACTATATTGGTAGGACTATTTTCCGAATGGGCCTTGCAGTGAGGATGATCGGGGGCTTCATGTATTGCTCATACATATTTAATCAAGCATGTAGAGATCAATTATGAGACAACTTATGCATTGTGGTTGACTAGTTACGAAGAATTTAGTTGTTTATATATTATTTTATATGAAACAATATATAAATTATAACCATAACGTATATATGTATTAGTTATATAAATTTCTAAATTACGAATTAGAAAGAACTAGCAATAAATACTACCAAATACGTCATTATTTATTCATTAAAAAAAAACACCAGACAGCCCCTGTATGTTAAAAATAATAATTGTAAAACCGTAAGTAGCAAAGAGGATAGAAAAAATCTAATTTAGTTGGTTTGCCACCACAAAATTTATCGAAGTGACAGTCCTACAATGTCTTTTTCCACAGACGACCTACATGATTAAAGTAGTAAAGGAACGAATAAAAAAGATCATATTTATGTGAATATATTGGAAATTCCAAGCAATATTGCAAGTGATAAGATCAAAATTATAATATACTCGATTGATCTTTTCACCATCATTGAAATATCACAAGCATGAATAAATTTTTCACGATCATTAGAATTATCATACCTAATTATATAAAAGAAAAAGCAAGTCCTGGTTGAATTAATTTAAGTGTTAAATCAAATATACAAGAAGACTTCTGTTAAAATACGACTTCTTCATAATGTTGGAAAAAAAACAAGCGGATTGTATATTAAAATTCTTTAGAAATGCTATTTGAATCGTTTGAGAAAAAATAGTCAGTTTTTTAAAATATTTAATAATTTGAGTGGGGGAGGGGGGTTGGAGTAAAAAAATAAAATATTGAATTTGAAAATAGTTTTTCTAAAAACAAACTAAAATTCTTAATATCTTTTAAAAACAAACTATAAATTAATTTTTTGGAGAAAGGAGGGGGTCGGAGGAGGAGGGTGGGTAAAAAAAGATCAAACTAAAATTCTTAATATCTTTTAAAAACAAACTATAAATTAACTTTTTTGGGAAGTAGGGGATGGAGGAGGAAGGTGGGTAGAAAAAGATAAAAAAAATTAAAATTAAAAATATTTTTAAAAAATAAGCTTCAAAATTATTTTTAAACATCTACTTCAATTAAATATAAAAAAAATTAAAAAACATAACATTTTTCGAAAAATATTTCCCTTTAGGCTACTAAACACACCCGAAATGAGTAGAAATTTACGTTGTTTTGTGACTGAATAAAATAATGTAACCCCACCGACCAACAACCCCTTTAAAGTTATGGATGGGCAAAACGGTAATTGTAATAAATTAGGGTTTCAACCCCGTGTCTTGCTCCTCACCTCTTTTTTTATCTCTATATATTTGGGCAAACCATTACAGCAGCAACACACATTTCTCTACTTATTTCTTACCCTCTGTTCAGAAATTTCTCAGATCTGTGCTATGGAAATATTGATGGCGTTGAAAGGGATGAGAGTATTGGGAAGTTGTTGGTTGTGGGTGGGGTGGAAAGATTTGATAAATCTAATTTTAAAGAGATTAAATCTTTCCTACTCCTCCCATACCCATGACTTCCACTAGCTTCTCCCTTTCTTCATTTGTCATCTCCTTTGCTAAGTTCATCTTCTTCTTTCTTTTTTTTAATTATTTGATTGTTTGAGCTTACTCTTTTCAAATCCAGAACTTGGATCTAACCGTAGTTGAAAGTTAATAAGTTGTTATGTATTTTTTTTTTCAGAACAAGATGTTAAAGTTCGATTAGGTTAGAATCTGATTCAGTGAGCTCAACTGAGTTTATTGTTTGGTAGATCTGGTTTGCGCTGTGTAAGTTTTATAATGTGAAAGCAACAAATTTTATGTAACATTTCTATAAACTCATTTGATAATTTTTAATTTTGGAACTATTGGCTTGTTGTTCTAGATCTCTCTTCTTTACTACCAAACTTGGTTTAGAAGATGATTTAAATTTGTGACTTTTAGTGCTTTGGCCATTGAATCAAAGTATGAAAAAGATAAAACAGTTCAGTTGCTACCTGATTCTGATCTATTTTTCGACAACTTGATTAGCAAAATAAACCCTTAATTGAACTTGTTGGATATCACTTTTTTAAATCTGTTAATTTTTGTAGGTTGCGTTTTTTTAAAATTAATTTAATTAATTTTTAAATTATATTAATTTGATAATTTAAATAAAATTTTGATATTATTCTTTCTTTTTTTAGTTCGTTTCGAAAGTAATGATTTTTTTAATATTTTAATTTAACTAATCACGCAGTATATTTAGTATATAAGATTAGAAAATAATTTAATATATTTGGCATAATTTTAATTTAGGATAACAAGATTCAAAATTTTTTTTTATTTTCTAAAATGTTGTACCAAATTAAACTCACTTTTTTTGAAATGAAAAAAATATAAATTATAAATTTTTTATATATGAAAAAGAATATTAGAATGTTAATTAAAATTCTTATAATTAAAGTTCTTATAATTCAATTCAAGTATTTGACAAGATAAAACGTAGTCATATTTTGTTTGAATTTTGAAGAGTACGAGCTGTTTAAGACTACGATTTTAATGAAAGTTGGATTCTTTGAGTCACAGCACAAGCCATTCTAACATGTTTCTTTGAGTAAAATCTCCCAAAGTTTCTTAGAAGGAAACATGGATATTTTATCAAGATTTTGTATCAAAATAGTTTTAAGAATAGAGGGAAAAGAGTTTTATATGTCTTTCAACTTTGTCAAGCTGACTCATATATACCTTTGTCATTATACAAATAGCTCAAATATGTCAATTTCTGAATATCACTTTCAAGTTTTTGCAAGGATAGTCCCTATTTTAGGGGGTGGTTCTTAATTTTTTTTTTGTAGCATCTTTAGTAAATTAGAGAAAATGGCCAAAAAGCCTCTCGATTGTATATTTGAATTTTCAACTAAATACTTTTATTTTATAAGAATTCTATCACCCCTAAAGTAATTAAAATTGAAATTATTACCTCCTTGAATGCTTGATTGGCAAAGAAAGTGTGTTTTGTTAACACAAAAAACAAATATTAAAATATTATTCTTAATGTATCTTTTATAAATATATGTATTTTCTTTTTATTTATTATCTTTCTTCTTCATAGCAACAAAGACCAAATTTCTAATTCCTTCACCGAATTCACCATTATTGATTTCACACAAAATTATAAACTCGTGTTAAAAACTTTTAAAAATCAATTAATTCAATTGAAAATAAAACGACACGTATTTCAATCTTTCAAAAAAGAGATCTAGATTAGATTTGAAAAAAATAATCAAACTAGATTTATATCAAATTTGATTTAACTCTCAAATGAGAATATTTTTTATTACTATTATTATTATTATTATTATTATTATTATTATTATTATTATTATTATTATTATTATTTTAATTATCAATCTCAAATTTCAATCTATCGAGAGAATTGTACTCGTTTCATTAATGGCATTGCTAGTTGCCTTTGTTCATCCTCCCTCTTTTCTTGCTCACTTTTATTAGTTTGTTTTTTTAATTCCGCTCTCTTTGCACCCATTGTTGCCACCTCCGGTGAAATTCAAACCACCAACAAAATTCCGTTCTCCCCTCTTTCTTTCCTTTTATCTCTCTCTCGTTCTAAGACAAACACCATGAAGACCAACCTTTGTTCTCACTGTAAGGTTGACAATAACAACAACAACAAAGCCTTGTGGCTGCACTACTCCGACGAAGCAACAATATGCATATATTTTTACTTTTTTTTTCAATGTTTTCGACGAGCAAAACACGAATATCGCTTGACAGGCTTCCGCTATCAATATTCATCTTTGTTCCTCACAATTCAATATAATTTTGAAAGAGTTGGGGGAGAAGTTACTTTAGGGATTTGAAGAAATTGGGAGCGTATAAGAGAAAGTAGAAAGAAATTATAAAAAATTGAAAAAAAAACATAAATTAATTGAATTTTCAAGTATCAAAACTTTTTAGAGGTGTAATTATTCCAGTCTTAAACAATTCAGATTGGTAACATGATTCTCATAAAATTAAATGTGTAATTAAAAGTTCAAATATAAATTTTAGAGGCTTGAGTATTTTCTCTTAATAATGATCTAATTTTTCAACCCAAATATCTTTTTTAAAATCTGTCTGAACATAAGTTTAGGCAATGGGCATAACTTGTGCCTTGGAGACACAAATTTAGGTAGTAAAAACTTTTCAAGGCATATAATTTTAAAGTTGAACCGTTGCTTGAAAGATATAATTTATGCTTTAGAACATAATTTAAATAATCTGAGCTTTTTAACATATAGTGTTTTAAATCTATCTCTAGGATGTGTGACATAAATTTAGTGATACATAATTCCTATAAGACATAATTTTAGTGTATGAAATATTCTATACTCAAAATTTATGCATTAAAAGACATTCACATCAATAAGTTAAATATACTAAATATCTATTTATACGGTGTATAATTTTAGAAGATGTCATATTTTATATGATTAATTTATATCTAATAGATAAATGACAACTTCTATAGTTTTTTTGGTCAAAATTTAAAGTGTTGAATTAAAATATTTTATGAAGAAGTTAAGAAGTTCATTTGACATGACTTGACTATGTATTAAGTTTTAAATTAAATTCATATATATTATTCCTAGACTATGTATTAAGCTTTTATAATTATAATATTATTCCTATACTCCATCCGGTGCATTTCACCCGTTGTTCTTATTAAAAATAAATTATTCAAAATAATTGTCTTATTAAAAAAACAATAATTAACTATTAATTTTCAAAAAAATGTAAAGAGAAATAAAAAATATGATTAATACTATTTTAAATTGAGAAATGAGAATAAAGAATAAATAGAATAAGAATCCTATACGAATTGTTCTCTAAATTTGTTAGGCCCATTAGTACAAAAAGCCCATATTCATTTTATTAGGGTTTCGCTGTCCACTTTAACTTTATATATATTCGCCATATCCACCATCAACAAACACATCTCAGCTTCTAAACACATTTTCACACAGATTTATTTTTGTTTAATAATTTGAGCAGTGATGATATCTAGAGAAAGTCATGCACCACTCTGATATTAGTGATGTGAAATTTCTCAAACCCATAATTATTTCTGAGCTCTTTACACTATATTTTTCGTTTTTTTTTGTTGTGTTAATTTTTTTTTATATATGTAGATGAGCCATGTGATGCGATCTTTGTAAAGATCAAACCATGATGCGGACCGTATATAGCCATAAGCTTCTGGGGATGAACTTTGGTTACTGATGGCTTCTTTCTGCATTTTTTAAAACCTATTTTTTTGACTTTTTGATTATTCGAAATTAATTTTTTTTATGATTCAGTTTTGAATATTTGTGAAATTGAGGGAGTAGAGAGTATTGGAGTGGGAGGAATCGAAAGGTAATAAGGATTTATTTATTTTTCGATTTGATTGGGAAAAAAAAAGAATTATGTCTTTCCGATGCCTCCCATTCCCATGGCTTCCGTTCACTTCCCCGATATTGATTTCATCACATCTGAGGATTATAATTGCTGATTTACTGAGTATTGTTTTCTGGTGAAATTGAGATGATGATCGCACTGGGCTCTGAGCAGTTTTTGTAAAACTGTTTATATTGATGCACAATTGCTGCCTAGAAAGCTATATCTGATCACTCATACTTATCGAATCACTAAGTTTCGTTGTTCAATCATTGGTACTGAAGGAGTTAAACTGGATTCTTATGCACACTTATCAATTTAAATAGAGCCTTTGTAGAAATTATATTTGTAATTATATAATCAGCCATAATAGACCCCTATAAAATGAACAAGAACAAAAAATAATCAAATTTGAAATTAGATAAGGACAAAACTTTTAGAAAACCAATATCAATTTAAATTGAATAAGAAAGAAGGTATAAAAAATTGTAAAATTTATACATATTATGGTGATTTAACATTGGTGAACAAGGGTGAGTGTTAAAAGAGTTTTTTTTGCTAAAAAGTACCGTAAAAATGTTGTTTGTTATTTTGCCACATGATATTATACGTATTAATTATACACACTCTCTCTTTTGATTTAACTTTAAGGATAACATATGACTTATGTCTAATCAATATATAAAGTTTTGTAAGAAATATAGTAAGTTTTATGTCTAATCAATATATAAAGTTTTGTAAGAAATATAGTAAGTTTGATCTAGTTTAGGCACGAAATCTTTTATTTGCCTAAATAATTAGGAATGTGAAATAATTTTTTTTGGGTGTGATTTTTGGAATATATTATAAAAGATATCATGGATTTTATTATAAACATATAATTATATCCGAATTAGGAAAAGAGAATTTTATCTTAGGGAGTGAAACCAAACAATTTTAAATATATTATAAAAGATATCTATGGATTTTATATACACATAATTATATTCTAATTAAGAAAAGAGAATTTCATCTTAGGGAGTGAAACCAAGCAATTTTAAATATATTATAAAAATATCATGGATTTTATATAAATATATAATTATATCCTAATTAGGAAAAGAGAATTTCATCTTAGGGAGTGAAATTAAACATTTTTGAATATATTATAAAAAATATTATGGATTTTATATAAACATATAACTATATTCGAATTAGGAAAAGAGAATTTCATTTTAGGGAGTGAAACCAAACATTTTTGAATATATTATAAAAAATATCATGAATTTTATATAATTATATTCGTATTAACAAAAAAAAAAAATCAATCTTAGGGAGTGCAAAATAACTTCCACGACTTTGAAAGCAAATATAGGTATTATTTAATGCCTTCAATTCATTTATCGATGAATAACTAGGTGAGACATGATTTTTTTTCTCCAGTTTTTACCAACATATAATGATAAAACTTTCATCCAAATATCAAAAATCCAAACTTATGTATCACCCCGCTATGATAAACACTCTATAGTCCCATACAACTTAATTATATTGACAAATGTATATACATAGATCTTAAACACAAAGCTTAAAAATATGTAAATAATTTCCCACAAAATTATATGTTCCATTTCATTTGACGATTTAAGCCACTATTAGTGGTATGGTTTGGACAAGTCCAACAACCAAAATAGGTTTTTTACTCAAATTCATATCCAAGTTCTTCACATATTCAAGTATTACCATATTATGAAATTTAAAAATGAAATTTGTTTGCAATTATGTTCAATTTTGAATAATGCACATATATCGCAATAATAATGCACATTAATTCTATGTCGAAAAATTATATTTAATTCTCCATATTATTTTTTTAAAAAAAGATAGCTTCCTTTTTTGGTTGTGACACAACTCAAGAAGATGTTAATGCAAGAATCAGTACTTCTTAGTTTTATTATAATTAGCAATAATAAAGATAGAAGAGGACATGTTAATTGTTTGATTAATTAATAACTAATCAGTGATTTAAATCTAAGCAGTTGATTAAATGCTTCAAAATTGGGCATTTCCTGGGTAATTGAAATCAAAAGGAACAATGGAAGCACAATAATCAATAGCTTGATTCATACTTGAAGTAGACGCCGTCGCCGCCGCCGCCATTGAAGAAGAACCATTTATCATACTCAATTCATCACATCTCATATTTACTTTCTTCTTCAATTCTTCCAATGCAAACATAAATTTCTCAAGTTCTTCAATTCCCATTTCATCAATCGATTCATTCCACCAAAATCCTCCTCCTCCATTATTACTACTACTACCACCATTCACCATCTTCGATTCATCAATAACAATCTCCTCCTTTACCTTCTTCTCCAACTCCAATTCTCTACAGATCTGAGAATAATATTCATTGCTCTGTTGCACATAGTTCAACTGATCATCGACCGCCGGTTTTTGTTCCTCTGATTTTCCGGTAAGGTACCGGTTAATGACGGCGTCGGCGCTCGGATGACCAAAAGTGAACAAACGCTGTCGTTTTAGCGACTGAACCATAATAGCGATTTCAGCGCCGGTTAAAATGCAAAGTTCGCTAGCTTTTTTGAAGAGACCTAAACGGCGTTTGCTAAAGGTAACGTGCCTACTGTTTTGATTTGCTATTGGTTTAATTGCTATTTTCCTCCGCCCTTGAGTTTTCTTGACGGCGACGGCGGCGGAGTTGGCGGCGGCGTTGGTATTGTTATTAATATTCATGGTGGGAGGAAAAGGTTAATTATTATGGCTTGGTAAAATTTATAATTTATAGAGAGTATATAACAGGTAAAAAATAATAGTAATAACGTGTAAATCGAAGATTTTATTTTGACAAAAAATCGGAGAATATTTTATTTACTCGTTTTAAATTGTCGTTTTAGGAAAAAATTGGGTTACGAATTTGGGAACTATTATTATATTAGTAATAATAAGGAATTGTTTTTCCTAAATAGGAAATAAAAAGAGTTATTGGGGGAATATTTCCTATAATTTTGGGTACTAATTGGAAAACAAGAATCTCTAATAAGAAAATAAAAATAAAATAAAATATACGCCTAGGATTTTTTTTTTCTTCACATGTGCATTAAGGTGATTATTAAACAATTTTGATATAATAACAATTTAGATATTATTATTTTGATTAGGGTGTTGAAGTGGTATAATGGTGGCTGGTCGATGAATATATGGATGTATGTGTATAATAGTGTCGTGTGGAAAAATCACGTAATTATACAATTAAAGATAACATAATTCTTAGAAACTTCTATCATTTGAAATAAGTACAAATACTTCATTTTTTCTTCTCTCTCTTAATACTCTGTTACATCACTTCACCTCTATTAAATATATATATTTTTACAATTTTTTTTTTATACAATATATTTGTTACAAAAGTTATTATTGATACATAATTTCAATTATTTCAAATCTAACTCAGTATGAATTTAGTTTATAGTTATGTATCTGATGCATAAATTATATATATGATACACAATTTATGTATTGTTTGCTATGTATGGCGAAGAAACAATGTATCCGTGATTTTTGAAAAATCAGAATTATTGTAATTTAGAAAGCTTTTGGAATAAGATGTAATTAGTGTCCAAATTATTGAGGTTTTTATACTTTATGGTAATTATATTTTTTTTTTAGTTAAACGATCCTTGTGGTGGGTCAGGGGTTGAGCAACACCCTCAGACTTTATTATTAATAATAAAAACAAAATACAAGGAGAGGGCATAAACCTTACCTTCTATCTAAGATGGTTCGGAGTCAACTTCCCAAAGGAAGTCAACTCTTCCCCTTACAAAAAAGATGTAATCAAAATACTAAGCACTAATGAGGGGACTGCTCTCAATACATCGTATCTAGAAAATATAAACTAGGGAGACTCTCCCTTTACAAGAAAGCTATAACTAAATTAGTCTATTCAAAGTGGCTATAATTTTAATTATAGCTAAGTTGAAAAGAAGTGAGAATAATCAAGAAGATTCCTTAATTCTTTTGGTCTTCTTCCTTCTAAAGCTAGACATATGCAACAAGTCAAAGTGATTGTAATTAGTGTCCAAATTATTGAGGTTTTTGTACTTTATGGTGATTATATAATGTATATTGTGCTAAAATTTTGATTGTATTGGACAACTATAAGCCCATCAAGTTTGACATTTATGATAGGAAAAAGGCTCAAATATGTCATTAAATTTTTAGAAAAAGTTCATTAATGTCATCAGTTAAAAGTTTGATTCGTTTATGCCATTACTTTTAATGAAAAGGCTGCCATTATTTTATAACGGTGATTTTGTAAAACCATTTTTGATACGTGGCTAATTATAATTCGGTCACGTCATCAATTTTTTTGATTAAAAAAACATAACTCAAAAAAAAATATAAATTAATTTTTTTATTAAATAAATTGATGATGTGACTGAATTATAATTGACCACATCATTAAATTTTTAATAAAAAAATCAAAATTCTGAATAAAAATTAAATTATTTTTTTAATTAGAAAAACTGATGATGTGGCTGAATTATAAGTGGCCACGTGTCAAAAAATAATGATAGAATGAGTCTTTTCTTTAACGGTAATGACATATTTTAGCCTTTTTCCCTTTATGATAATGGCACTTCCACTCCAACAAGTCGCAATTCAAGTTCAAATTTGCTTCCATTGATCAATATTCTATCAAAAAAAAAAAATGTGAAAGAGACTAGATTTTATCAAAAATATTTGAGAATTTGTGGCGGAAATCAAGATAGCAAAATAGACGATTGACAAGTCGATAAAGAAAGTTTCTTTGGAGGTCCCAATTTAAATCCATAAACTGTCCTATATAGTTTGAACTTTAGTAGGCGTTATTTCTAGGATATTTCCGTAAGAAAATGAATAGATTTTTTAATATTTTATTTTACTAGCTTGAAGCAAATTAAGACTTGGTCATTTGCATAAAAGTTCATATTTTTGAGCGGTCTTTAATTTTGGTCTCTCAAATTCATAATTTTTAAATTTTCGTCCTTTATAAAGTTATATTGCGAATTTCTAAAGAATTTCTGTCATAAGTTTAGATAAAATGTCTTGCGAATTAGATATTATACCGGACAAGTTAGCCCTGTAAAATTAGGTCATAACTAAGAACACTTACGCCCACAAATTTATTATATGAGAAGCAGAGACAAAAATTAAAGACCATCGATTTGAGAATAAAAATTTAAAGATCATTAGGAAATAGGGACAATTAGTACAAAAACATGACTAAGACTTGCTATAGTATTAGGTTAGCTTTTTGATCCTATAAAAACTCATCTGAAGGTTTGTTTAGTTATCATCAAATTAATCAAAATGGCAAGTTCAATAGTAGGAGGGGGAAACAAATACAGAGACTACTTGAGTGATGAAGAGCTCAAAAACACAAAATGGAGAAATGGACCTCCTACTTATGATGTTGTTGATAAGCTCTTTGAACAAGAAAGAACTCATGTATGTTTCTCTTTTCGGATTAAAATTTTTCAAAAATCTTCTTGCGAATACATCACTCCCCTCTTGTTGATACATCTCTATCCCCCTCTCAGATACGTCCCTCCCCTCTCAGATATACACTCTCCCCTCTCATCTCAGATACATCTCTCCCCCCTATGTATCTGAATGTTCTATCCTCTCTGATACATCCATTTTTTCTCGGTTATATTCCTTTTCCTATGTATATGTATTCGGTAGTTCAGTGATGTATTAAATATTCATCAATTTTAAGGGATTATTTTTAATTTAAAAAAGGGTTAAGAGAAATAATGTAATTAGCTTTTACTACTATATGATTTACATAAATTTTCTCTCTTTTTTTTAATCACTGTTTATACTAATAGTTACCTTAATAGAAGTTCAATGTTACGACTAATAGATGCTGGATTTGCCTTTATTCATTTTTAGGTATGGGCTGAAGGATCAGTTGAAGATAAAGTACAAAGGCTATTGAAGACTTGGGAAATGGAATTAGTTCACAAAATAGATCCTAATGAGATGAAATCTGTTGATCCAACAAAGTTCAAGAAGAGTGTCAATGGTACACTTTTGTTACATTTTTTGTCTATATATAATTTCCTTCATTATAATACAGGGGAAAAAGAGAGTGACTAACCTAAATGCAAGTGTTACTCTTATTAAAAAGGGAAGTTTTTGTTATATACAAATACAGGGTCATGCTAGTTTTCTCTGTATCGTTTTTTGATCGTTTGAGAGAATTTTCTCTAATATTTTTTATAGGAAGGAAAGGGTTAACACCGGAAGAAGCTGTAAAGCTTGGTGGTGGTTACAACACATTCCTACAAACTTCATTGCCAGAAAATCTAAGAGTCTATAATCCTGAGGATGAAACATTTGAATCATCACAAAATGTATTTAGATCAATATTTGTACGTGGATTCGCGATCGAAGTCCTTCATGTTTATTCAGGACCACCAGAAATTGTGTACAAGTTTAGGCATTGGGGTTACATGGATGGTCCATTTAAAGGATATGTTGCAACTGGACAACTTGTTGAGCTCTTTGGAATTGGCATTTTTGAAGTACTTACCAAAAAATTACCTTACTTTTTTTTTTTCAAAAAATAAATAAATTATATTTTTGAATTAATTGAATTGTGTTGTGTTTGAAACAGTTGGAGAAAGAGAGTAACAAGATTGTTAAGGCAGAGTTCTTTTTTGATAGAGGAGAATTGCTTGGGCCACTTATGAAAGGAGGAAAAAATGGTGAATCCACAAGTGAGATGGCATTATTGGAGGATTCAAAATGCCCTTTCATGAAATAAAATAATAATCTACTAGCAACAACTTGAAATAAGTCTATGGTTATGTTCTATTTTTTAATAGAAATAGGTGCAAAAAGTGTAATTTCCCTTTGAAGTTTATTAATGTTTCTTCAACCATCAAATTTTCATTAGAGAATGTTTTATCGTAAAAATCAGATTGTGGTGGAGTCACTATTTCAATAGTAAGTTTTAGTAGTAATTAGTTAATGATAATTACATTTTTTATAAATGTTCATGAAGCTTATAGCGACACTGAATATGATGATAATTAATTGATGCCGGTAAAAATTTTAACACTCTTTATTAATGTATGTAATTTGTTGTCGCTAAATTATTTTTTTTTTGCTATAGTAAGTGATAAGCATTTCTTCATTCTTAACTAAAGCTCTTGAGTTCAAATTTTTTATTATGAAATCACCTTTGTTAGGGAACTTTTTTTATTTTTATTTATTTTTTATGTTAAGGAGCATCTTATTCTTATCCCAATGTAAGATTTTTCACGATGAGTTTCAATTTAATTAGGACTCAATCCAATTACGAGAAGACAAAAAAGAAATCTATTATGTTTTGAAAGAGTCAAAGAATGTCTTCTTTAATTAAGATTATTTATACAATTCAAAATTACTTTAATTATAAAAGATAATTATTGGTAACACTTTTTATCATTTCATTTAGTCTTGTTTTTAAAATATAAACATAAATTAACCTCACTATTATATTTGAAAGAAAAGTTTGGATTAGCATGAAGTTTCTAATGATTTGACCATCTTTCTAACTTTGAACCTCACTATTGCATTTGAAATAAGATTAAGGCATAATATTAGAACTTAAATTTGACTTCAAATTTTAACTTTAAACTCCAATTTTCATAATGCACAAACAGACACTTTAACTATTCAACTTTTAAATAAATAATTACATGAGTCCTACATGACATAATACACGTAGGACAAAAAATGACATGTAGGATGACATATAGGACATGTGTGTCTATTTGTTCAATTTTATACAAGTTTAAGTGTCTACTTGTGCACAACTAAAGTTGAAGGGCATAAATGTGATTCAAAGCCAAGTTAAATGACATATTTATGTATTATGCCTAAGATTAACTTCTCTACTTTAGTTGTAAAATACACTATAATACATAAAATAACTCCCACCTATTTCATAACCCAAGACTAATCAAACTTATTTACATTAATATAAATTTAATTGCATTATTCAAATTAAGGATCCACAACCCTAATACCTTTTGCCATAATATTTACAACTTTAGTAATTAATTCATGTGTTCTGTTTTAAAATACCAATATTTATATCTTATATTTTTAGAACATATTTGACGGAATAATTCTCCTTTAAGCACTCTGAAACGAGGATGCACACAATTTTAAATAGAAAGCGCAATTCATATGTAATGATCCGGAAGGTTACTTTTAGAATTTTCGGTAAAAAGTCGAGATTCTTAGAATTTTTTAATTTTGGTAGGCTTAAAATTATTAAAAATGGGTTTTTGAGTCAATCGAAGTTTCGAATCTCAGAATGAATCTCCGTTACTTTCCATCTACTCGGGAATGTAGAATTTGGTCTAGGAGAGACGGTGGTTTCAAATTTGGAGTGATTTCATGGATTTGAGGTCTTAAGTTGAAAATTGATGAGATTTTAGTCTTTGGGTTGATTTCGTCTACATTTGAGGTTTGGATGCTCGAATCGAATTTTTGTCAATCTCGTCGAATTAGGGGGATTATTTTTTTTTTGGGGGGGGGGGGGGGGTCTTGGTTGAGTTTTTGAGCTTAGTTTTGGTCTTTTTAGGCATTATATTAGTTTATTGCGATTTTTACGGATTTTAAGTCAAGAAAATGTTAAATTCTTGTTTCGATGGTTCCATCTAGTTGGAACATTGAGTTTAGTTAGATAGCATATTTGGTTTGTGTGTACGGGGTTCTGAACGAATTTTGAGGGTCCAATAAGAGACTTGTGTGTTGGCGATGTTTGAGATATGTTGTGTCTGGCGTTCTCGAAGGGTTGACCTTTGTTGCAACCTTTACGTTTACGAAGATCTGATCTTGTATGTTCAAGTCGGCTCATTTTGGTGACGTTCACGTTCGCGATAGACCCATCACGTCCGCGAAGGGTCATTTTATTCGGGGTTTGCATTCGCGATCAAGTTTAACCTTCAATTTCAAAATCAAGTTTTTGGGTCAATTTGACCTTGTTTTCTAAATTGCTTGATATAGGTGTTGTAAGTTTTAAAATCTTATTGTGACTATTTACTTAAATAGATTGTGTTGATTTGGATTCATACGGAAGAGAAAATGTCTAGTGCTGGAGTGAGTATTCAGCTCTCAAGGCAAGTGAAATAACCTTTCCCAAAACTAGTAGAACCACTTATTTATCCAGTTGTATGTGTCGTAGAGTAATGAGAATTAGTGATGAGTTGAATTGTTCTTATTTAAATTTTTCTTAATGATAGTAAGGGGAATAATGAAAATTGCAATTTGTTGGTAATTGTTGTGTGTTATATGATGAATGACTTTGAGTAGTCATATTGGCCCGCTAATTCAGAAACACTTTAATTGTATTGTTGTGATTTTAAATTGCTATGGAATTATCATTTCTTCATTATTCTGGCGAGTGATATTGATTTTGAGATTTTATTTGGCAAATATATAAACATTGTGTGTTTTCAATCGATTTTCGGTCTGAAATTCACCGAATGTATATCGTAGGATATGTATGCATCACTTAATATGACTTTGCATATCATTACATCAGACTTTATGGATGATGATTATTGATTCTATGTTGTTAAGACTTTTTATTGTGGGATACTGTGATGATAGACTATTTGTATTGAGATGTGACTTGAGTTATTCTTTATATGCTTTGTTATAAGGTATGGAAACAGTTAAAAACTTTGATTGATAAACTAGATAATTGATTGTGGTTGATCTGCAATTGTAGAGGCATTGTTATTGAACTGTGTATTACTTGCAGTTGTGAACTTTTAGGCTGGGCTCTTCTTTGTGCATGTTATAATATGTGGAGGTTCGATTAGAATGAACAGAATACTCGTATTCTATTTGCTTTACCTTGTGTTTAGTGGTTTGCTTGTTGAGTACTGCATTGTTTAGTACTCACACCTAGCTTCTACACTTGTGTAGATTACGAGCTCGAACCTATATGATTAGTCTTTTTCTATTCGTCTGAGGCTTTTCTGTGGAGACTTGAGAGGTAGTTGATTGTCACCTCAGTAGACTTGTTCTTTATTCATTTTCTTGTTCTTTCTCTAGAAACAAAAATATTGAGATTGTATTTCTTCCAATTCATGTGTAATACACGAGTGACTTAGAGCCTGTTTGAATATGCTTAAAAGCTGGTCAAACTGATTTAAAAGCTAGTCAAACTGACTTAAAAGTCAGTTTTTGACTTATTAGAGTGTGACAAATATCAAAGCTAAGTGACTTATTTTAAGTCAAAAATGACTTATTTTAAGCAAAAAGCTAAAAGCTAAGTGAGTGGTGTTTTTTTTTTCAATTTAAAAGTCATTTATGTTGACCGTGTATATTACCTTTTTACTCTTAATTCTTTTATTTTTATTTTTATTTTTATTATTATTATTATTATTAATAATAATAATTATTATTATTTTATAGTATTTTATTATTATTTTTTATTATTCTTTATTATTATTATTATATATTATTATTATTATTAATATTTATTTTATTATTCTTTTTTATTATTATTATTATATATTATATATTGTTACATATTATTATTATTATTATTATACTATTATTATTATTATATAATATTATTATTATTATATTATAATATTATTATTATTTATTATTATTATTATTATAATTATTATTTATAAACAATTTGTAATAATAAAGAATATGTGAAACATAGCAAAATATAATTACTTATGGGTGAAAAATATAAATTAATTTTGTTTCATTTTTTTAAGTATAGAAACCTTATATTAATCAACTTTTATCATATTGACAACTTTTAAAAGTATTTCAGACATTTTGATTAAAAAAGTGTTTACCAACACCTATTTGCCAAATACATCAACAATTATTTTTTAACTTCAGCACGTTTATTTAAACACATAACTACTTATTTTAAAAATAATTTTATACTTTTAAAAATATTTTTTTAAAAGCCACTCTTTTCAAACCCATTCAAATGAGCTCTTATACACATGACAATTAGATTTTAAGGATATTGTTAAGATGGAGTGATTGAAAATTAAAATAAAATAAAAATGGAACATTTATCAAAATACGTGCAGACATACTGCAGGGCTAGATACCATTTAGACCATAAGCATTATTTTTTTAAATTCGTCATAAATATTTTTGGATTATGGCAATTTCAAAAGTAGGTTCAATGAACCTTCCTTTATTCAAATATTTTTGGATTACCAATGACGTTTATTTTTAACTAAAACTATTGGAATGAAATGGGTGGTTGAACTACTCAAACATGAAAAAAAAACCCATCTATTTTGCATATGCGTTTTCCCCCATATTAACACTATTTTAGAAATATAAAAGAAAATCACCGTGATTTTGTATGAATTTTTGCTATAAAATATAATTTTTGCATTCATTTTTTTTACTGAATCAATTTATTAGTAAAACACATGATGAAAAATAAATTCTCACAATAATATTAAAAGCATTTTTAATTTTTACGCATGAAAACACTATTATTTTTCAATTATAATCGATTCAATCGAATTATTTATGAAATCATTCAACAATTTTAAGTGAAAAATGTAGAGAAATAGTGATTTTTTTGTAGGGTAATTAATTACTAACCTCTCTTTGATCCCTAACTTTTGAGATTAAATGGTTGATTTGATGTAATTAACTACCTAGTCCAACTAAAATTCCTAAACTTAGATATTATATGGATTTTCATTGTAAGAAGACATCTCCTGAAAACTTAGATATATGTTAATACATCAACGATGGAAAAGTCAATAAAATATAATTATCCTATTTTGAATTTCAGTACATGTTATTTCCACGACACTTCCAATAAATTATGTTTTTCTATTTGACTACCCTAAAGCCAAGCATGGGCGGCTTTGGTAGAAGCTGATTATAAATTCTATCGAACTTAGTAATTTTTGATATATTTATGTTAAATAATTCATTACAATATGTGTATATGTATTTAAATTTAGAATTCAATTATTTTCTTTTGACTTTGAAGTCGTCGTTTTAATAATTCAGAATTCATAAAATTAAAATTCTGATTTTGCCTCTGATTATTTTAGTCAAGTCTAAGACGTGATGATTAGTATTACCGTTAGCTTTCTGATCTATAAAAGCTCCTTTGAAGGCTTCATTTTAGTTATCATCAAATTAATCAAAATGGCAAGTTCAATAATAGGAGGGGGAAATAAATTCAGAGATTACTTGAGTGATGAAGAACTCAAAAACACCAAATGGAGAAATGGACCTCCTACTTATGATGTTGTTGATAAGCTCTTTGAACAAGAAAGAACTAATGTATGTTCTCTTCTTTTTTTTAATCGTCTTTTCTTTTTGATTTCTCACTCGATGTTCGAAGTACATATTAAAGCTCTGGCGAAATCCTGGTCGCCTACCGCTGGACCTGAATTATTTTTCCATGTCCAGAGTTTGAACACGAAGCCTTTGATTAAGGGTGAAACAGTCTCACAATTTAGTCATCTTTTTTTTTCTGGTTTTCATTCGGTGTTGGAAGCCTACATTGGTGCTCATTGTCTACTATAGGCTTGACTCTTGAGGGATTTTTTTTCCATGTCTAGGATTCAAACACGAGACTTTTAGTTAAGGATGAAACAGTCTCGTCATTACGAACCTTATTAATAACTTCATGTGTTTTGTTATACCCTATATAAAGGAAAATCAGATCAATTATTAGTACTAAAATTTAGAATTTTTAACATTATAATATATAGTGGATTTATTGTTTTAAATGTTTAGGTATGGGCTGAAGGATCAGTTGAAGAGAAAGTGCAAAGGCTATTGAAGACTTGGGAAATGGAAATAGTCCATAAGGCAGATCCTAATGAGCTCAAAACTATGGATCCAAACAAGTTCACAATTAGTGTTAATGGTACATTTTTCTCACAATTTCTCTTACTCTTTCCTAAGGGTATATGTGGTAAAAAAATATATATTATTACAATTTTTTCATGTTTAATAAATTTTTAGAAAATTATTTTGTCTAGCGATTTTTTATCTTAAAAAATGAAGAAAATGAATACTTTAAAAGAAAATCATAAGTAAAGTTAGAGATAGAGTGAACTTTATTTTTATGAATTCAGAGAGAATAATGACTATAAGAAAACTTCTATTTATTTTTCTTCAATAAACAAACAAAACACGCAAATCACCAATTTACTTACGTTAGATGGTCCACATCCATGTGGGAATACAATATTGTATATATGTAATTAAATAATCTTTTATATGTGACCATAACTAAATTTTGAATTTAATATTTATATATTTTAAATAAATTTCTTGATACAAGCTAAGTATGAACTATGAAATATCCTAATTTACTGAGTTCGATCGAATTTATAATTGGACTTCTAGTTTTGCACTGATATTATTCTTCCTATTATATATTTTGAATTTAATTTATATACGCTGACAGGTCGAAAGAGATTGACATCAGCAGAATCTGCAAAGCTTGGTGGTAGCTACAATATATTCCTACAAACTTCATTACCAGAAAATGTTAGAATCTACAATCCTGACGATGAAACATTTGAATCATCACAAAATCTTTTCAGATCAATATTTTTACGCGGATTCGCGATCGAAATCCTTCATGTTTATTCAGGACCACCAGGAATTGTTTACAAATTTAGGCATTGGGGTTACATGGATGCTCCATTTAAAGGACATGCTCCAACTGGACAACTTGTTGAGCTCTTTGGAATTGGCACTTTTGAAGTAATTAACCAAAAAAACATCTACATTTCTTTATTTATTTTTTTAAATTTATATAATATATAATTAAATGTTAATTTTGTCTTAACAGTTGGATAAAGAGAGTAACAAGATTGTAAAGGCAGAGATGTTTTTTGATAGAGGAGAATTGCTTGGAGGACTTGTGAAAGGAGAAAGCAATGTTGCGTCAACATGTCCTTTTATGAAATAAGAAGAAATTATTATTACTATGTTTTATTATTTTACTAAAAAATGTTTAGCTTACCTTTGAAGCACATGGTTTGTTTAATATTTCAAATAAAACGTATTTGTGTTCTATGATATTCTTTTATTGAGTTCTAAGATATATTTAATTATCTTTTATACTTGTGAAAGATTGTTAGTACTTGTAATTCTGTTTACGCAAATTTAAATAAAAGAAAGAGGAGCTATTTAGGTCTCATTTTTTTTTTGTTTAGTAAAACTTTTAGTTTGATCGCAATCGTTAAATTTATTTGATTTTAAGATCTAAATAAGTTGTCATTATTCACGCTTAATTAAAGTCATCTGATCATTTAGATCTCAGATACTAAAGTTATTTAATATTAGGTCTAATTCTTAATAATTAGAATTTTAACTATCAAGTGCATTTGATTTTTTAATGTTACGACTATAATAGTTATTAAAATATGTAACAAGATCTTAAATTCTAATTTGAAGGTGTCTATCAAATATAAAATTAAAGATGGTAGTTCACTAATTCCATCAATCCACCGTTATTGTCATAGCTTATTGTTATCAATTATCATGATCATTGCACATCGTTATCAACTATCATAATTCATAACCCACAATGATCATCATCCTTATTCATATCAATCATTGTTGTCAATAAATACATATAGTCATCGTCAGTGGCGGAGCCACATTATTATTAGGGGATTCATCCAAATTTTCTTCGGCGAAAATTATGTTAATATTTTTAAATAGTTAAAATAATTTTTTAGGTATATAGTAGATATCTAACCCCATTCGATTACTTCGTTTGTTTATTTCTTCAATTTTTAAACCCCCTTACGGATAAATCTGGCTCACTATTCACCATTTACACTTATCAGCACAAATCATCATTAACACAATAACCACCAATCACTATAAACAATCATCACCATCAATTACTATTATATATTGTAAACCACTGATAACACATTCACCACGATCATTATCATCCACCACAATCATTAGTTACCGATACCTATTACCAACATCAACCACTACTAGCAACAACCATCACCATTCTATCCATAACACACACTATCAGCCAACAACATCCCCGATTGACACTCATAACCATAGTCATCATCACTACCATCCACCGTTATGTAATTAAAAAAAGTTATTATTCTTATATAATAGTAGATGAATTTTATATTTATTAAATCTTTTTAAAAGATAAATTTTATACATTTCAGATATTAAAAAACAAACCTTCTTAATTATTTATTTGATCTTAATACAACATCATAATTTTCCCTCTATTTGTTTGTTCCTAACTAACTATACTATGAAGATGCCAAAGCCAGCACTAACGGAAAATGATTACATGCAAAAATACAAACAAATAATTGAAGTTGTAATTTACAACTATATACTTTTCAGTTACATCACACATAGGCAATGTAAAACATCATCAAAACTTTATTTCATTTCATTTTCTTTCATAAACTTAACTATGTCAAACTCAGAAAAGTTCAATTCTGTTCAATATGTTCATACAATATCTGAGGCCGGTCGCCTCCTCCTGCCAATCGTTGGAACTCGATAGTATTGGACTTCAATCTCCTCCCTGAATCTTCTTTAAGTGAAAATTTTGAATCTTTACAATCAAGATTCTCAAAATCTATTGATATTAACCTGTTTGTTAAAAATAAAATCCATTTCAAACGATTCGTCGTTGTATCAGCCTTGATAATTCTCATTATACCCACTTTTATTCTGCTTAAGCATTTTTATCATCCAAGAAAACATCATCATGACTCTTCCCACAACATCACTCTTGTTCTTAACAAAGCTCTTCTCTTCTTTGATGCTCAAAAATGTATAGTACATACAATTTTGTGTTTATAAATGCATTTCCCCTGTTTCCTTTTTTGATGGTTGGTTAAATGATCCTTTTATTATTCGTGCAGCGGGGAGATTTGTTGAGAATAGATTGATAAGGTTTAGAGGGGATCCAGGGATGAATGATGGGAATAGCAATGAGAAAGATTTAGATCTTGTTGGTGGTTTTTATGATGCTAGAAATAATATAAAGTCAAGTTTTACTATATATAGCTTATACTGTTAAGTCTTTTGAGCTGGACAGTGATTGAAAGTATGAAAATACTGGAGAAACTGATCATGTTAAAGATATAATCAAATGGGGTAGTTTATATTTGCTTAAACTCTTTGTTTCTCCAAATAATTCTTCTACTACAACTTCAGCAAAAATCTACTCTCAGGTACTAATCAAGAATCTTAATTCAAGACTATTTTGAGTTAATCATCGAAAACAGACATGAACTATCACTCTTTCGTGAGTTTCACATCTCATCTGTCAATTGTTCTCTCTTCACCGTTTACTCAACTAGGCTTGTTTTAGTACATAGATGTAGGAAAAGGGAATTGCTGATAGTTGAAGTGTGAAACATGTGAATAAAGTGATAGTTTGGATGTGCTTTGGACCATTGTGTCTAATATTTTCGGATAAAGTTTCAATCTTTTGTTGATTTCAGGTTGCCGGGAATAATTCAAATGCTGAGAATGATCTAACTTGTTGGAAAAGACCAGAAGACATGAACTACCCGAGGCTTGTTTCGGTTTGTGACATTAGTACTGCTTCAGAATTTGCAGGGGAAGTGATAGCAGCAATATCAACTGCATCATTAGTATTGAAAAAAGATGAGGACATTTCAGAGGAATTGGTGAAAACAGCAGAGAAATTGTTAATTCTAGCAAATAGAACAGCGAAGAAAGGGAAGTACACGACGAATGATGAGTGTGGAGGACAAGCTAGACAATTTTATAACTCAACTAGTTACAAAGATGAATTGGTTTGGGGTGGACTTTGGTTATTTTTGCAACAGGAAACAAAACTTACCTTAAGTATGCAACAGAAAACTTTGCCTCAGCTGTAAAAGGAAGAGGTAGCTTCTGAAGAAGGCGTCTTCGATTGGAACAACAAAACTACTGCTATATCGGTAACTTGACACAAAATCTTGATGAGAAATAATGTTTTCTGTTGTATGTATTTCATTTTAAGACTAAAACTTACTACTGTTATATAGATACTGCTTACAAGGATAATGTACTTTCGGGATCTTGGTTATCCATATGAGTCTTTGTTTATATCATCAACGAACAATATTGATTTGCTCATGTGTTCGTATACTTATGATACAAAGTACAGCAAAACAGCAAGTGATGTTTCAATGTTCATATTACAAAATAGATGCATTTAATCCTTTTAAAGCCAAGTACTGATGCAGCATTACTCCAATATGCTGCAACATCTTCCTTTCTTACCAAACTATATAGCGACTATCTCCAGCTTTTGCGTACACCAAGCAGAAGGTGTTCTGATTTTGTCTTTTCCTCGGGAAGTTCAAAACAATTCTCACAATCACAGGTGATACCCCTCAAAAAAGTACCAATTTTCGCATATCTTTATGAGGCTACACCTTCTTATAAGTAGGATGCATACAACATATTGTATGCATTTCACTAGGATATTACTTGATGTAAAAAGGCCTAAGTTTGTGTCTTAACAATATTTGTCACAGGTGAATCACATACTAGGTGATAACCCCTTTGAAAATGTGTTATGTGGTTGGATGTGGTAACACCTATCCTGTTCAAGTTCATCATCGAGCTGCATCGATCCCTTGGGATGGGAAACAACGTGATTGTTCAGATGGGAATCAGTGGCTCAATTCAAGAAGGGACAATCCAATACCATCTTGGGAGCAATGGTTGCAGGACCAAATAAGGATGACTTTTTTTCGAACGAAAGATGTAAGCCATGGTTCACAGAACCAAGTATAGCAAGTAATGCTGGGCTTGTAGCAGCACTAGTTGCACTTCATGATCCTCCTACTGGTTCAACTATAGGTAATTTAGGAATAGACAAGCATGGTATGTTTGAAAATGTATAAGAAGTGCCTTGAGTAGAAAGGCAGTAACTAGTTACTCTTACTCCCTCCGTTTCAATTTGTTTTTCCCAACTTTCCTTTTTTAGTCTGTTCTAAAAAAGAATACCTTTTTCTTGTCACTACAACAAAACCAACTTTTAGCGGCAATAAAGAGACACATTAATAAAGAGTATTTAAGTTTTTTTTACCGGCATTAGTTAAGTGTCAATAGATCCAATGTCACTAAAGTTTTTAGAGACATATACAAAGACTACTAATTGCTGTTAAAAATACATATTTAGCAGAACTGCTAATTAATTGCCGCTAAAACTCATTTTTTATGTAGTGTGTTTAGAGAGAAGTCTTTAATTGGCGGTCCAAGACGAGGGAATCATTCCTCTGTAAACAAAAAAAAAAGAAGCTAGAATCTTTCTTTTGATAGAGCTTTCACGTCTGCGCATAGAATCCTTTTTTGTCCTTCGATTCTATTTTGGGTCGGAACCGATGATTCGAAAGTCGTTTCAAATATTCTTTGCACCAACTTTTCACATGACACGTTTGAAGTTTAAGTGTAAACAACATGTTGGTGTATTTTAATTTCTATATATCTTTAGTTTGAAACCACCACATTTTACTTTCTTAAATGCCGAGTCAAGTAAAATATAAACGAACGAATTAAAACGAATGGGAATAGTAGTTTCTTGACATTGTTTAGATGGTTCATAAGGTACAAATAGTTACATCAATTCTATAATTAAGGCGTAAAAAGTTTATATAATGCAAGACACATGTTTTCTATTAAATCGTTTGATGCAAACACCGGGTGCATTACTTATATATATGCACCTGGTGTTTACATCAAACCACACAATCTAATCTTAAAATTGCGAATTAGAATAAAAGGTACACATCCCATTTTGGTGCTTACAAGTACGTAGATATGTACCAAATGAAGTGTACGTTTACATAACTGAACTTGGGATGTATATATTACATAACAAGCAAAAAAAGGATAATGGTTAGAGAACTCTGAAAAAAAGTCATATTTACAACTAGCTTGTCACATTTTCTTGAACATGCATGCACTTTCATCTTCAAGTAGATTTTAACCTATCAAGACCATATGCACCCTACAAAATAAAGGTTAAACAAAACAATTAGCAGAATTAAGAAGAAAATAGTAATTGTTATTGGATCATTATTAGTGTAGAGTTAAATATAATTATAAAATAAGGGGAAATCGACAAATATATCTTTGAATATCATAAATGATCTGCAGATATCATCTGTCATACTTTTGGGACATTGGTGCTCCCGTCAAAAAACTAGAGCATATATGTTTTTCACTATAATAGAAGACTAACTAGGGACGTGTGGCGCAATCTTATTCGTTGATATGATATTTAATAAATATCGGGTCGGTGGATAAGATAGTAACACATGTATATCTGTTAATATAAATGATTTATATGCTCAGGATATCTGCATACCATTTGTGATAGTTCGAGAATATATTTGTCCTTTTCCCCTGAAATAAATTATATTGAGATCGATCTTACCAAAACTTCGTGAATTTCTTTTAACAAAGGTGCCAATAGTGAAATGAAGGTACGCAATTCCTTCTTAAAATCATCGTTATTTTTATCTTTTCCCTTCAGAATTGTGATTAAGCCCTTGCTATCTGGCACTAGCTTTAGTCCTACCTGCAGAATAGTTTTTTGTTTAATTTTCACATAAAATAGCTTAAATAACATATTTTTACTCTATATAGCGGCCCATCAAAATAATAGCCTCAATTTTTTGAGTATACTAAGGTGTGTATATATAAACACACACATATAACACACATATTTTATGCATAAGTAGTGTATATAGTGGCGGAGCTACAATTTGGTCAAAGGGGTGTCAAAATATAAAGAAATAAAATCGTGTAGAAGCCAAGGAGTGTCAGTATGTAATATAGATATACACAAAAAATATTTTAATTCTAGCTACACAACGTAATTTTCCGATGAAGGAGTGTCGGTCGACACCCTGAGTGTATATTTTTGGATAATTACGATCCTAAACAGTTCGGCCAACTAGTTTATAAAATATGTACACTATGTATATGTTGTGTATATTTATGCTAAATATACATATCTATTCACAATGTATACACTATCAATGTATATATTGCGTATATTTTTGATTTTTTTATGACAAGGAAAACCGACAAGCCTGGTGCGACGAGCTCGACCCAGAAGACAAATCTCTTGCTTTCACTGGCAAGGGGTTTCGAACTTGAGACCTCCAACGTGAGAGTCCCTAGCTCAAACCACTGGGTCACCCCGAAGGGTTATATTGTGTATATTTTAACCATATTGGTAAGCTAGTTGGCCGAACTATAAATACTCATATTTGTGACTTTCCCTATACTCATAATATAGAAAAAAGAAGAAGAATAGAATGACCTTGAAGGCAGCTGAAGAGATCCATCCATGCCATGGCTTAAGGGTGTTAGTGTAAGATTCTTGAACAGCTTGGACCATATTCCTCTCTAAATCATCAGCCAGTAGTTGTAACAATGCTAAGGTGAAATCCAAGGATCTGCAAGTATATATCCAATATTATAAACTACTAACTTCAAACCAATTTTTACATCATCATTGTACATTATCGAGTCATTCAAAGGATATCTTAAATAAAACATGTCACTTTATCGTAACAGGTAATGATGATATATGATAAAGTAAAAGTTATATACACTGAAAGAGTGTATATCATTTAAACTCCTTAAAGTAAATTCATGAACTAAAACTAGCATTCCATACTAATTTTTATAAGTACACACATTCACATAAATATAAATCAGAGAAACGGATCAAGAATTTTAAATTTCATGAGTTACAAATTATGTTTGAGCTTTTATACGTACGTACAACTGATTTCATTATGTAGGATTTCTAGGTTCAAAACATAATTTTCACTAATTTTCGACATCCATTTATGTTTGTGTCTATAATATTCTATTAAATTTTATTAGTTCTCCTTAATTATAAGAACCTTCTCTAATTACTTTTAGTGAATATATATAGAAAGAAAATGATCATCGAAAAGATGTGCTGCAGTGGATAAGGTTGTTCCTTTCTTAATCAGAGGTTTCATATTCGAGCTCTAAATATGAAATAATTTTTGATAGAAAACACTACCTCGAATGGTCCTACCAAAAAAAAAAAGTGAATATATGCAAAGTGTTAATTTACCTGGTGAGCCAAAGAAGAGCTTTGCTACAAGTTTTAGGACACTTTGTTCCTTTGCCTTCACTAATCACCTCTTTCTTTAATATCTCAACCATATTTGAGTAGAGAGCAGGGTCTGAATCATGCATCTTTTCCAATTTCTATACATTTGATATACACAAATAAACTATATGCTAAAAACAACAAACTATAATTAATGTGTACGCAATGACGTATTAGAAACAAACAAAGAAGTGCAAAATTATGTAATGTAACCATCAATAAAGTGAATAAAAATCATAAGAGGATTTTAATTTCTCATAAAGAAACTAAAAATATTACTATGTGACTATTACTATTCCTATATGTATTTATAATATATTTGGAAAAGTAACTAAAATAGTCAAGTATAGTCCTAGTTAAAAAAAAACATCAATTTATCCATAAAAAGTGAAGATGAAATTTTGGCCTTTGGGGCCCAGAAATAAAATCTTAATCGTGTGTTTTACACAAACCATATGAAAGTAACATATCTACATAGTTTTAAAAAAATTAAAAATTACTCCATACAACAGACATTATTATAAGGTTGAATTTTCAAGTAATCACTCTATTAATATTGATTATTATTTCAAAACGTTTATTTTTAATTTAAAATAAAATAAAATATATAAGAAAAGATAATTTCAAAAATTATCATTTATTAGGATAAGTAACAGCTATCTAAAAACTATTAACTCGACTTTGTTATTGTAAAAAAATTCTTTATTTATAAAAGTATTTTATCGGCTTAAATATAAATTATAAGAAATAATTCTATATTATAGATTAAAAAATATATAATATTATATTATTATAAATCGAGATAAAATATGACATTTAAATTGAAACGAGATATTTCGTATGATTGGACTTACTTGGATGTTTTGAAATATGTCTTGTCTCAACACAGCCATTGTCGGCCCTATCTTATCTTCATTCAAATCATTTCACAATAAAACAACAATTAATAACAAACCAAATCCACAATAATTATCCAAAAATCATTAAAATTAAATTTTTTTAAAAAAAGGAATATTATATAGTAGTACTAACCAAGAACTTGAAGGACTAAATTTGAGATAGAGAGAAAAGGCATAGTAGGAATATGATAATTATAATCTTTATGATCATCATGGTGATTAGCATCACTAATTTGTTGTTGATCATGTTTAATTAATTTGACTTTGATGAGCTTCATCATAGATAGTTCTTCAATACCAATTGTTATTTCTGTTGACTCTACTTCCATATCTCTTCTTCTCTTCATTTCATCAAATTATACACTTTCTTCTCTCACCACTTCATCTTATATATATATATATATAGTGACAAAAACTTGTTAAATATTAATTACCAAAAATTATAAAAATAGGTTCACCAGCTGTTTTGGTCATTGTTATCGTCACATGACTAAAATATTATACTATCAATATTAAACTCTTTTTTTTTTGCTCTAGGAAATATTCTTTTCAACGGCTCTCAAAGTGTTGGGAGCATTTGAAATGGTCGCTATTAATTCAGAACTCATAAAGTTAAAATTCAGGCTTAGTCAATTTATGTCTTTTATAATATTACTTATTTTTTTTTTACCTATTGTGATTTCGTTTTGAGAATTGAACTATATAAATTTTGATTAATATTTTATAATATATATTTTTTGCATCTAATATGAAAAAATTGTAATTTATAGCTCTTTTTATATAATTTTTTTAATTTTTATTTTTTAAAATATTAAATTAGTATAAGGTAATTTAACCTTTTAAATTATTTGTTTTTTAAAAATAATATAGGAAGGGAGGGAGTATATTTATATTATAATTTAAGATTCAAAATAAATATTGAAAGGAGCTGAAAAAAAATGATACTCTCTCATTTCTTTCATTAATTGACATTGAAGTTGTCATTAATCGTATTAGAATAAAGTATAATTTCGTGTTACCCCTTTGAGTAATGGGTTAGAACTACTCAATAAGAAGGAAAATTTCCAAATTAAATAATATAATCATTAATTGAACTTCTTTTTAAAAGTAAAATAAATAAATGATAATGGCACGAGAATCTAGGGTAGAACCATCTGTTAGGAAACTTGAAATGGGATAAAAGTCATAGTATTTTTTGTATGGAAAAATGGGAAATATTTGGTTCTATTGACTTATGATATCTTAGATTTATAAAATTTATAACTTGTACTGGTGATAGGGATAATAATCATTATATACTAATAGGGAGTTTTTCGGTTTTAAAATAGTTGTTGCTTTAGCTAAAAGAAAATATACTTTTAAGGTCTTGATTCAATTTTTTTAGTCAATAAGATATTTATATATTTAATTATAAATATTTGTTTATCTTACTAAAATGGTTGATAATCACTCATATCAGTTCTTCTTGATAATATTTTATCTTTCTTCGATATGAAATGAGTTATAATGATATTATTTTAAAATGAAAGAAATATAAAATATTCTATATATTTGAATGACTGAGAGAATTCAAGACTTAAGTATACCATTGGAGGTATGATACTATAATTTGAGTAAATTTTGAGATTTAGCAAAACCTAATAAATGTTTTGATTTATTTGTATATTTCGATATATAAATAGGTCCTGCATCGATATACATATGGTTTTGTATTTGTATATTTCGATCTGTTTGTACATTTTGGTATATAAATGGAGCCTGCAATTGTTATACATGGTATATAAATGAGTTTTTATATTTCGATCTATTTATATATTTGGTATATAAATGAGTCCTGCATTTATATATTTCGGTACACAAATAGGTTCTACATTTGTATGTCGGTCTATTTGTATATTTTGATGTACAGATAGGATGACAAAAAATATAAAATGTTTGCTGCGAATTTCAGATAAAATAAACTATGAATATAACATTTTAACTTAATTTAATAATTTGATATTTCATATAATTTTCCCCAATTTAAACAGTATTTTCTGTTATATTTTAAATAATAAATAATTTTTTAAATATTTTGCGTCCACTAAAATACGACACATTCTTATATTATTATATTATGTAATAAGTAGTTATATACTATTTTTGTATAAGAAACCTTTTCCTTTCAGATTATCCTAATCGGATACACTTTCTAAAAATCATTAAAGACATATACATCCCTGAGAATTATAACATTTAAATAAAATGGCTGTCGAAATTTATAACATGAGTATTTTATTTTATTTTTTTGACTTTTCACCCAACGTTGTAATTAATTTGTTAATTAGAAGAGGATGAGGGTAATTAATGCTATGAACTCCAGCATATGATTAATCTTCAAACTTAGTGGCACTAGTCATATTTCAAACTTATAACACATTAGTTTTAAAAAGTTGATATTATGTAAATTTTTTATATTTTTATATATTACTGTAAATTTCTTTGTCTTTTCCTATGTGAAATACACATAAAACGTCACATGTACTCCTTTATCTTTGGTTACCACTCACGACTATTATATTATTCATTTTATATATATTTATCGATGATAACATTCATTTTAAATATGCCTCTGAAACTTATTTTTCTTAATATACCTTGCGACTAGCCTATCTTATATGATTCAAATATAATGGGAATGGGCTATATTGGTCCATAATTTATGATAAGGTCACTTGTCAAACTTAACATTTAAAAGCTATGAATATGCCTTTGGTCATAAAAAAACAAAACAATTTAAACACGATAAATATGCATCTAGACAAATTACGTAAAAGCAATTTGATTGTAAAATGTTAATTCCTTATATAGCTTAGTCATAAATCATACCTCTCATACATACAATAAATAACAACGATGTAAATTAGTAAATCAAATGGAGAAATAAAAAAACTTTTTTACTTGTAAAATTAAATAATTAGATATACTTAATATGGCAAATACAAATTGAATGTTGAAACTATTTAAAGAGCAATAATTAAAGACATTATTTGCTTATTGAGGATTAAATAATATAATATTTCAAGATTGAAGAATGTATCGACCCTTTATTGTCCTCATTCATATATATATATATATATATATATATATATATATATGAGGAATTAAAATTATGATGCTTTATTGTTGCAGGAAGCATATCATGTGAATTTCTTCTAATATGAAATAGGCAAAGAGCAAATCTCATAATTGAAAAACAGAAGTTCATCAATTATTATTATGGTTTGATGTTTCCCAACAGCAACATAAATGGATAAGGTCAAACAAATCAATATCAGAGAGTTTTTAGGAGTTCTATACTTTATTTATTGTTTTTTCAATTAAACTATTATAATTGTTGTACTCCCTCCACTTTTACGTTTTTCTTAAAAAAAAATTATTTATTCTGTTTTATTTTTTACATGTCTTTTAAGAAAAATATTAAAAGAAAAAATATTACTTTCTTTCATCGACATAAATAAATTTTTGAAATGTTAGATCCCTCTTTAAAAATTAATTCATTAAATATATGTGGTAATTTTTATAATTTGCTTCTTCTTAGACTATTCTTAAAAAGAAATATAGTCATTAAAGATATGGGTAAATTTTTATTTTTTTTTTGGGTGGAGGGGGTTTCAATTAATCCATTTTTTCATATTAGTTGACTTTTTCTCTCTTTATAATACGTCCCTTAAAAATTTGTACATAAGAAAGATAAATTTATTAATTTATAACTTCGTAAAATATTTTTTTGAAACTTTACAAACTTAGTTATACTTTCAAATATAATTAATTCAAAGTGTAAATAATTTTTTTAATTAATCAATTATTTATATTAACAGATAATTAAATTAATTATTTTCACATATATAAATAACTAATATGAGACGAAGTCAAAACGTGACAGGAGAGTAATACATTTTTGAATTTCGAAAAATTTATTAATTTTATACCATGACGAGAAGTGTTAGAAATTCATTTTATTGGGATTTGACAAATATTGAATAGGTCAAAGTAGCTCTTGCTTAGTAAATTCAAATTTGAGCAAGAACTTTTTGGAAAATATCTTTCAATCGTAAGTGATTAATTTACTTTCAAAAACAAATAATGCTAGTGGTAAAATATTGAATTAAAAAAGAAATACTGGCAACAAATTAAGTGGATTATTAGTCAATTACTACATTGTTTAAAATATACCTCGTAAATTGCAGGACATTAATTGAGCTTTGCATTTCAAATTTAAACATTATATTATAATGCGCTCTATTTTATTTTACCTAGTTCTTATATTAAAGATAATTTTCTTTTTATTTGGTCTCTTTAGTAAATGAAGGAAAAGCATTATTATATTTCCTTTCAATACTTTTTTATTCTTTATCATTAAATAACTATCTAAAAAATACTTATCTAATTTAAATTTTTAACAGTTATTTATTCATTTAGTCATTTTCAAATTATTGAATTTATTAGAATAAAAAATCGTAGAAGAAAATTATTATTACATTTATTATTTTTAAAGATATTACAAGTTAATACTAAACAAATAAAAATAAATTAAAAAAATCATATAATCAATAAAAAATAAAATAATACAATTTATAAAAGATAAAATCAAATTAATATGAGTCTAATAAAATGAGCATAATAGTGACAATATGATGAGACCCACCGCCCAAATCTAAGATTCCTCGATATGCTTTGTTGTTAATTCAGACGAAAAAATATAACAAAAAAATATATTCCTCTTTCGTACGTCCACTAACAAATATTATTAAGAAAAAATTAGACCTCTTTGCTTGGATTCATGAATCTAAAGAATATTTATTTGTTTAATTTTGATTATTTTAATTTATTAATTTTAAATATTCATAATAATTGCTGTTTAATTAACGTATTAAGTATTAATTTATATTATATATGTTGTTGATCAGATAAGAGAGTGATCTAACACTAAATATTACATATATAGCTGTAATTGTTCCCCTTGGGTTGACCTATGCAAAATTCAAACCCACTTATCAATTAGCAATTAATAATAACAGTAATTAGGTCCTAATTACCTGATTTAATTTGTAGTAGACAAAAAAAAAACTTGATCTATTAATTAATGAAATTATAAACATGCAATGATTGATTAGCTAGGAAGTGAGCCGTTTAATTTCATGCCAAACACGAACTATATATAAGCTGACTTAAAACACATTTATTCTTATATTTTTAAATATATAGCTGACTTAAAACACATTTATTCTGATATTTTTAAATATATAGCTGACTTAAAAACATATAATAAAATCATATTTAAAGATATAGTTGACTTAAAGCATATCTGTCCTCATATTTTTAAAGGTACAATAATGCATTAATTTGATTGTGAGAAAGTAAAGGGGCCTGT